GATTTTTCTTGGACACGCGTAGAGGTCGCGAATGTGCAGGCGTCAAGTTAGGGGCGTTTTGGCGTTTTTTCACGCGCCCATCGCGTTCGGTGTGAACACACGGTAAGGCTAGACAATCAAAAATATATCAAAAAGACTCTGTTTTGCCTTTCTTCAAAGTATGGGTTTAGGGTTAGATTTGATATATACGATGACTTTGACCTCAGAGGGTTAATGCAACTACCTGATAAATAATATGCCTCTATATATGACTAATTGTACATAAAACTTTCTAAGCGGTCCTGGCTCCAGTTTTGCTTTGTGGAATTACTGTTAATGGGCAGGTATTTGTGTATGTAATATAGCCATATAATGTTTGGTCACACCTTGTTAACACTAGGTTATAATGTAGCAATGATTTCAAAAAGCCAAGATGGCCATATTTCTATAATTGAGGCGTGATAACAAGACTTGGTGGTTTTGTCCATCTTTTATATACAGATTTTGGCTGAATTATGGCGATTTTTTTCCTAGTGACATAAAACACAATGTTTTAGTGTTTCTGTGATCTATTTTAAAGAAATATATTCGATTTTTGTGTGAGTAATCTATCAGTATAAATGCACAAAAGACTACACATAGTGGCTTTAAAATGTAATATTACAAACAGGTTAGGACAGCTGTTCCCAAACATGTGCCATGGAAGTTAAAGATGTAGCAGCTTTTCATTTCAGCTAGCAACAAGAGCTCATACTTGCTAGTTTAACTAGTGTCTGTCACTTGAATGAGCTGCTTCAGTGAGTACAATCAAAGTCTGCACACGTTTGACTTCCTGTGACACATGGCTGGAAAACACTGGCTGTTAAGCTCAGACCAAACTCTCTTTGTATGGCTCTGTAATAACCCCTGCCTCCCGCACCCGAACCCCAACTCAAACAAGAACAATGCACATCGCTCAACCATTTTCTGCCCAGGCAAAATTAGACAGCAAGCAGAAATAAAACACAATGGCTGACTGGAGTCTAAAGTCTAATGTTTACACAATCCTGAATTCAAAGTAAACATGTCAGTGTAATTTTCCCCAGCTTTCAGTCAGAAGACAATAGCAAGTGCAGTGCACCACCTCATGCTTCACACACTGGTATCAGTGTGTGTGTGTGTGAGTGTGTACAGGAGAGTGAGTGTGTGTGTGCATTTCTGCATTGTCCCAAACATTCTCATTGTCATGTCAGAATGCATATACAACAGAACCCCCCCACCAAAAAAATGGTTAAATGGTGAAATGAGCTTAAAGCAAACCCCCCCCCCCCAAAAAAACTCAAACCAATGGAAATCAAAAAGTTGAAGTAAGAACAAATTGGTTTTAAGAGTGATAGAGAGCAACATTCATTCCAGTCTCTTAAAGGCGAGCAGGTTGCGTTTAAGTTTGTGCTTTAGGGGTTTGGTCCAAACCTTGCAGGCCACCCTATGTGGGCACTTCTTGCCAAGGCCCAGAGGAGGGGAGATAACTCGCAATAAACTGTACATATCCTTATAATGTATGCGCCCGCTGCAAGAAAAATACAAGGAGGGGAGGTTAGGTGAGGGAACACACAAAATACAGAGAGAGAGAGAGAAAAGAAATACAAAGGGAGCAGAAAGAAGAAAAAGAAAAAAAAAGCAGAAAGATTCAGAAAATCATCTTTAGCATGCACGCTCAAAATTCACAGGGGAGAAGGGAGGGTCACATTCATCTCAACTTTGGAAGAGAAGGCATTTAAAGTTATGAGAGAGAGAGAGGAAAAAGAGAAATAGATGCTTGGAAACTGCTCAAGCAGGCCAGCCTTAACTGTCCCACTCTGAACTATCATCACACGTTGTAGATCCCATTTGATCTGCACGCTTCTCGGATAAGACATCGGCACGACAGCAGTCTTTACCCATTTCAGGGCAGGAGAGAAAGTCAGGGGTTAAGATGTTACTTTGCATTCAGCAAAAGACTATTTATACATTTGTGTAGATCAGGGGTGTCAAACATAAGGCCCGGGGGCCAGAATTGGCCTGGCAAACACACCAATCTGACCCACTGGACAACTTTGGAAAATGTGAAGGAGGCATAAATTTTGGACTTTAAATTTTGGAGTCATGCTGAAAGATTGCTTTCATTTACTACAGCACCATGTTTTTTTTTATCATGTGGAAAAACTGAGAAATATTGTTGTGTTTGCATACTAAACAAATGTCTGTCCTCCTCCAGAAAATCTTATGTAGACAAACGCGCGCTGCAACTTCTTATCTGGTGCGCGTCTTTTATTTTGACAGAGAATGCTCAGCTGCGGACCACTTATGTGCACCCCTGTTTATATGGACGTTACCCTGGAAGCATTATAATGGTAACAGTACAATGGTATTCAAAAAGTTGACAGTATTATTTTGTAAGACTTTAATATAATACAGTACTATAAGGGTTTTTTTTACACTAAGAAGCCATTTTTGGAGGTTAGTGTAGGTACACGGTAAAATAATAGTATATCGCTGTAAAATCAGAGAACTTTCCAACAGTGTGCAGTGTGTGTTTTAGTTGTATTTTTGTGTGGATTTGAGTCCACCTGTGTGTCACTCACCAGGCGGCAGGGTCGTACTCGGCCCATATCCTTACATACTCATCCAGGTGATGAGGCCCCAGGATGGAAGAGTCTCTAGTCAGGTACTCAAAATTGTCCATGATGACAGCCACAAACAGATTCAGCATCTGGAACAAGTATGTCGCAAACACAGTGATGTAAAAAATTTCTTCAAACAATAACATACCCTCACTGGCCACTTTATTAGGTACATGTTAGCCCTGGGCTGGACCCATGTTTTGCCTTCAGATCTGGCACAGATTCAACAAGGTGCTGGAAATATTCTTCAGAGATTTTGGTCCATATTGACACGGCAGCATCACACAGGTGCTGCAGATTTATCAGCTGCACATTCATTAAACAAATCTCTATTTCTAGCGTATGCTTGAGGAATGCGGAGGCCATTTATGTACTGATTTCATTTCAAGAAACCAGTTTGAGATGATCTGAGCATGTTATACTGCTGGAAGCAGCAAAGTGGCTGGTGATACGAGGCTGGATGGATCCATGCTTTTATATTCCATTTTATTGTTACAGCAGAAATCAACAGTCCAGGCAACCTTTTATTCACTTCTGTTGAGCCTGTTATAGCCTCAGTTTCCTGTTTCCTGTTGACAGGAGTGCTACTTGTTGTGGCCTTCTGCTTCAAAGATTTGAAGTATTGTACACTCACAGATATTCATACACACCATGGTTGTAATGACTGGTTATTTGAGTTACTCTTGCCTTCCAATCAGATCGAAGCTGACTGGTGATTCTCCTCTGATGTCTGACATCAGCAAGGCATTTGTACCCAGAGAACTGCAACGCACTGAATATTTATTATATATATTAGAGATATTAAAGATGGCTGTATGGGGAAATCACGGTAGATCAGAGGTTTCTGAAATACCCCGTCCAGCCAATCTGGCAAAAACAAAGTGTCTGACACATTAAGCAGATTTTCTTGACCACGTCTGAATGCCTAAATGCGTTCAATCGATTTGATTAGTTGATTAGATATTTGCTTTATCAAACAGTTGAATAGGTGTACCTAACAAAGTGGCGGATGAGTGGAATGGACTGAAATGCTTACATAGTGGCCTTCTTGCCCTACTTAAAGCACTTTCTAGTACAAATTTCACCTAATCAAACACATTCATACAATGCTTTTATCTATACCTAAGCACTTTGAACTAACATTCACACTCTGGTGGATGCATAGGAGTTTTTCGGGTTTCAGTATTTAGCCCAAGAATGCTTTGACGCATCGACTGAAGCAGCCACCGACCTTGTGATTGGCGACCTGCTCTATCACCCATATTTTGATCAACTGCGTAAAAGTGTATCCAGTGGGTTTTCTCACCAGAAAAGAGCACAAGAAGATAAAGGAGACAAAGTATGTGTAAGCGAAGGTGCTGCCACATTCTTTTTTATCATTCCCTGATTCAGGATCACACTCCTTCCTATCCAGGCAAGCCAACATGATCTCTTGCCACGCTTCACCCGTAGCACTCCTATGAGAGACATTAAAAAAAGAGGGCGTTGTACACGACTTGATATGAACACAGAAGATTATTAATATAGAAGATATGATAACATATACAATAGCACATCAGTGCTACTGTCCTGCTTCTAAGGAGAAAAAGACTGAGCGTCAACAGGAGAAGAAGAGAGGAAGTAAAGTCTTACCTGAACAGCAGCATTAGGGCCATGAAGAAGGTTCTGAAGTTATTGTGTTCATTGATTCCATCATCCTCAGTTAGTTTTAAGTTCCCAAACAACTACACACAAACAGCAGTCAAACAAGGAAAAATCAAGAAGTTTAGGCAACGTCGTTACAACAGGAACTGCCTTGTTGCAGCGTTTTCAGCACATTAACACATCAACAATAGATATTCTGCAGCACTCGACTTTTAATTGTCAATTTGCACATCATTTTCGTTGTTTAAGTTTTATTCCTACTAAATATTTTCATTTTTAAAAACATTTTCTTTATTCATATGTATTGCATTATGACTAAACCCTTAAAAGGAAACAAATAAGCAAACAAATAATACACAAGGTTTAATTTGGATGATCCCCCCTTCGTTATCATCTGTTGCATCTGTGGACAGACTCCAGGGATAAGATAAGATAACCTTTATTAGTCCCAAATTTGTTTTGTCACAGCAGGAAGTGGACAGTGCAAAAGTTATATAGCAAAAATTAGAATACAATAAGAATAAAATACTGTACACAACTGTACAGAATAGAATACAAAAAAAATACTATATACAGTAGAATGAATAAATAGAATAAAATATACAATAGGATAAAAATAGAATACAAATGCTTAATACAACTGAGTAAAAATACAACTTTGTCAGAAAAAGAGTATTGCACTTAGTGTTATTGCACATGTGTGGATGTGTGTGTTTGGTCAGTTTGACAGCAGTGGGGAGGAAAGACCTGCGAAATCTCTCCGTCCCACACCGTGGGTGCTGCAGCCTGACACTGAAGGAGCTGCTCAGTGCTGTCAGAGTCTCCTCCATGGGGTGGGAGATGTTGTCCAACAGGGATGACAGCTTAGCTACCATTGTCCTGTCACTCACCACCTCCACTGGGTCCAGAGGGCATCCTAGAACAGAGCTGGCTCTCCAGATCAGCCTGTTCAGTCTCTTCCTGTCCCCAGCAGAGATGTTGCCACCCCAGCAGACCACACCGTAAAAGATGGCTGAGGCCACCACAGAGTCATAGAAGGTCTTCAGCAGTGGGCCCTCCACGCCAAACGATCTGAGTCTCCGCAGCAGGTACAGCCTGCTCTTCCCTTTCCTGTAGAGGGCGTCTGAGTTATGAGTCCAGTCCAGTTTGTTGTTCAGATGAACACCAAGGTACCTGTAGCTGTCCACAGCCTCAATGTCCATACCCTGGATGTTCAGTGGTTGCAGTGGAGGATGCTTGTGTCTGCGGAAGTCTACCACTAGCTCCTTGGTTTTACTGGTGTTGACCTGGAGGTAGTTCAGCTGGCACCAGTCCACAAAGTCTTGGGTCAGTCCTCTGTACTCCTTGTCGTCTGCATCAGTGATGAGGCCGACTATTGCAGAGTCAACAGAGAACTTCTGCAGGAAGCACTGGGTGGAGTTGTGGGAGAAGTCTGCAGTGTAGATGGTGAAGAGGAACGGAGCCAGAACCGTTCCCCGTGGGGCCCCCGTACTGCAGAGGTTCTCACATACTGTGGTCGGTCAGTGAGGTAGTCCAAAATCCAGGTAGTGAGGTGATGGTCCCCTCCTGAGTTCTCCAGCTTGTCCTTCAAGACCGAGGGAAGAATAGTGTTGAAGGCACTGGAGAAATCAAAGAACATGAATCTCACAGTGCTTCCAGCGGTCTCCAGGTGAGCGAGGGAACGATGTAGGAGGTGAATGACGGCATCATCCGCTCCAATGCCAGGCTGGTAGGCAAACTGAAGTGGGTCCAGTGATGAGCTCACCAGGTGCCGAAGCTGAGCCAGGACCAGCCGCTCCTGCTTCATTTGGATTGGATCTCTTCAAGTTAGAGGTACAACAATATGCATGCTTGTTCAACATGCATGGGGCTGTGCACTGTTAATTCATCCTACAGGGTCAGAATGTCAGTGCAGATTTCTACTGTCCAGAGACATGTGAGGGAGAAGATTAGCCATAAAAGAACTGAACCGCACTGGTATACAGCACTTTAAAAAGGCAGGAGATTTTTGATTTCCCCCCTTGCAACTTTATCCTCTTTCTCAAAAGCAAATTTAAGTTGAGATGTGACGGTTTCGACCCAAAAAAGTAGATGCAAAAGTGACACTCCCACAGTGGCATCCAGAAACAGCAGCACCACTGGAAGCAGACAACCTTACAGCAAATATTTTGATCACACCTTGCATTTTTAATATTGTACTGCAGTATTTATTTGCCAGCTTATTTTGCAGATTTTACGTCTATATACTAAACCTATAATGAAACCCTTGTGATGACTTTTTGAAGCTTAAAGCAGCTCATTACCTCACCCTGCCTTTGACTTGAGATTAGTATGTATACTTTGCAGTGCAATTTATACTATGATGTTTAAAAAACTTAAAGGAACACGTGGTCATCACAGTTAAACACAAAGTCAAACATCAGCTATATGAATCTGTCTAGTTAGTTATGATGCAACAATATTTTTGGCAGTTCCATCCATTCATTTTATTCCACTCCGCTGAGTTGCGGACAGCCTGATATCCCCCAAGTTTAACTGACTTGTGTCACACTGTGATGATGGAGTGTTCCCTTAGCGGTTCTGAGTATATGTATATGACATGTTTTATGAGACGCACTGTGACTGCACAAGAAGATCTTTAATTTAACCTCTTTTTATCTTACTTGCACTTCTATGATGTGTAATGTAAGTAAACCTTTGGATACAGGATAGACACTTCTATCCTTTGTGAACAAATTCTGTGTTGTTCACACTGTTGCTGAAGCATTTAACTGTCCCAACCCATCAAATGTAAAAATCTCAGGACTCTGTAAGCAGTACTCACCTGCATGCCAATGATGGCATAGATGAAGAACAGCATGGCAATAAGCAGGCACACGTATGGCAAAGCCTAGCATGGCAGATAGGAAACACTTTTTAGTCCCATTAAGTGTATTGTGACATGTGCATACCTTTTGATTGTGTCATTTATTGACTGAATACCTTGAAGGACTGGACGAAGGTCCACAGCAAGATGCGAATGGTCTCTCCCTGTCTCAGCAGCTTTATAAGGCGAGCTGCTCTGAAGAGCCTCAGGAAGCTCAAACTGAAGGCATTATTCTAGAGCACAAAGGGAGAACACAGTGAGTTTCACCGAGTATGCCGCACCTGCACAGCATTCCTCTAACAAACAGAAAAAACAAAATCAACACTTGAAGAAAGAGAGGACAAAGAAAAAGAGAGAAGGGAAGTCAAAACCAACTAAATGAATGCAACTGCAAACATAACGGCTCTCAGTAAAAAGGCTGAAGGGGAAAAAAGACAGAAAGGAAAAAGGAGGAAGGAAAAAAAAGAAGAAGAAGAGTTGTACGAGTTTAAAGGTCATCATCCAATCTGATACAACAAAACAGTTTTTTTAAGAGAAAAAAAATGCACTGATCTCTGGGGAGGGTGGGGGCAAGCAGGCCACATCAGATGGAGCATAGTGCAATGTGCCTGTCAACCACACACACACACACACACACACACACACACACACACACACACACACACACACACACACACACAATGACAAACCCTAACAGAGAATGGCTTGAGTTTGCTCCCATCTAGAGGAAGCTAGGTTGCTCTCTGTTGTCTCTAGAGGAGAACAACCAATCAGTATTTGACAAACCTTAATTTAGAGTGACATTACGATATAGATGCCTGTATGTCCTAAAGATTTTGGTATTTTTTGTTCCCTTTTGAAAAGAACTGATAAGTTAAATGTAAAATATGTGATTCTTACTGCTGGGATCTTTGCCAATGCCCTTGGGAATTTGTACTGAGCCTATTTCTGCTTTTTTGGCATGTCACACAGAGAAAATATTTCACACACAACAGCCAAACTCTGGTGAGGCTCTGGCATTTTGTCGTTCAAAGGCAAGGCAAAAAGAGGAGGATGAGGAAGAAGTGGTATAGAGGAAGGCGTGGGAGAAGGACCAGAGAGCAGCCTCAGTTCAGGCAGCATACTTTAGGAGAAAGGAGCTGGCCGACATGCAGTCCAGAGAGGGCCACTGGTGCAGATTGTACTTTTAACTGTATTTGAAGATTTAATACTCTGATACATTTGTGTGTGATACATTCTTGTGAGGAACACAGACATCTCAAACTACAGAATTCAAATATAAAAAAGTTTGGCTTTGCCTTGTAAGCAATATTTTTTTTAAACTGTCCACCTCGTGTTCTTAATCAGTAACCCTGGCAAGAAATTTACCAAACTACTGGAACTTTTATGGATGAATCTATAGACTGTATATAAAAGATAACACCTGGTAATCTTGGCCCAGGTGTAATGACACGGTGGCCATGTGCTATGAGCTTGTTGCCTGTAAAATGGTTACTAGACTGATGGTCAGCTGCTGTTTTTGGAGCAACTTTGGTGCATCAAGATGTTAACAGAACGGCAATAGGATGGAGTCACTGTGCAATCATTTTTCACTATTTATTGGGGTCAAGTTAGCAAATACATGTAATCTATTTGTAATAATACAGAAATAATGTGTCTAGTGTGGTTTAGTGGGGTAATTCGTTTTTTTACAGGGCAGGATAGGTCTGAATAATGTTTTTTAGTGAATGAAATAATCATTTAAAAGCTGCATTTTATATTTTTGTATAATATTAAAATTAGTTTGATGATCTGAAACATTTAAGTGGGACCAATATGCAAAAAATAAGAAATCAAGAAGGAGGCAAATATGTTTTTACAGCACTGTATGTAGATATTAACAGATTTGTGATTTTCATGGTGTATTATTAAAAATAGTCTGCATGAATTTGCTAACGTGACCTCATTTAATCGTAAAATGATAGTTGACTGAGTCCATCTTGACTCACCTAACTGGCTTCGAAGACGGCAACTGACTGTGATTAGTGGTCGCAGACCTGGTCCAGATCTGGGAGAAGATCCCCCAGGACATTTTGTTATCAGGAGCAAGCCCCACCATTGTCAGGCATGGATACAAGCATGTGGGGGCCAAACAAACTACTGAGTACTATTTCGAACTGCTGCAATAAAGTTTTGGCAAAATTGACTAAAATAGACTAGCGTGCCTCATTATTTATTTTTATAGTGTCTTTTAATTCAACCCTCTTTAGCCTGATAATTTTCATTTCCATATATTAATGTGGTATCCTTCCCCCCCCAAACACATTAGTCCTTATAAGTGTAGATATCCAGCATGCCCCCCCACCCCCTCACCCCACCTAGATCTGATGTGTTTTTAAAGTGTTCCTTTAATTTTTTGGAGGACAAATGTCCATCGACCTCACAGATCAATTTCGTCCCAGGAGCCACCTGAACTATTTTACATTCAGTCCACGCATGAGTGAAGTACTGTGACCAGGAAGTTCAGAGAGTTTAAAAGTCCAACATCCAGAAAGCGCATGCACTGGGTTCAGGATTAAGACTGGCCATGAGAGAGCAGGTGACTGGGGAGCAACAAATGAATCGAGGGTGTGCACAGTCAATGAAGATGCAGGAGAAAGTTTTTGAGAGATAAATTACAAACCAACCGGATTCTACATATGCCAATATGTAGAAAGAGGAATGGGAGGATTTTTGTTTTCATTTGTAGTAAAATGTGAGTGGGTGAAAGATATTTTTTGGGGGAGGAGGGGAGAAGGTAAGTGGGTGGGTTGGCGGGTGTTGGTTGTGTGTTTTATTTGGACATGGAACACACACCATCACCATCATCATCATCATCATCACAGGACCACCACCACATGTCATGGTGCAGCATGGATGGAGAACACGATGAAGGATTTCATAGTGCATTTTGATTGGATGGATTTTATCAGAGGAGGAGGGAGTGGGAGGGGCGTAGGGCGCCAACAAAGTAGAGAGGTTTAAAGAAAGCATGTGAAGAGATAGAAGAGGAAGACAGAATCAATATGGGCGTCATCACAAAAGCACTGAAACACTTCAAGACAACAGCAGTTCATTTGGGAAAGAGTAAGTTCAGCCTCTCTTCTTTTCCAGCTTCCATTAACCAAAGTTCATTTATTTGAAGTCAAAGGCAATTTGGTGCTCCATATTTTTTATTCTTTGACACTAGTGGAGTAGGTGTGCATGATTCACAACTTATACAAGCCCTCACTGACAGAGATAAGCTACAAGAACTCCTCTCCCTTTTGAAGCCAACTATCTTCAGGTGAGCAAAGCCAGGGGCTGTGACTACAACATGGGTGCAAGATGAAACTATGACAAAGCAGACAAAGCAGCTAGAATATGGGTTTGTGAGATTTGCGAAACATTGCACCCTGTTTTTATTTACATGTTACACAAGGTCCCAACTTTTTTGGTATTGGTGTTGTACAAAAGAAAGAAAAAAAGAAACAACAGCTTCCTTTTAAAACACTAAACGGAAGAATCCGGATATTTGCTTGAAGTGTTATTATTTGTCCAGATCCTAAAACTAGACAAAAATGAATCGACCTCTACATACATTAGTGTTTAGTCATTAACTTGAAAATGTCTGGGATGCTCTTGAGTTGACTGGTGTTTCGTGCCGTTCTGTTTAGCAGATATGTCAAATCTTTAACAATGAACCAGACACAAAGCAAGCCAAGATGTTAAAGAGAAAAATAATAATCTTATTGGGTTTTTTTCTTTCTGTAAATATACAGCCAGCTCAGTTAACTTTAACCAAAAGCTGTTTTTGGCTATGTATGAAAATTCACAACAAAAGTAAGTGTTAGCTATTATGAACACTCAAATTTACTTGCGAAGCCAGTAACCAGCAGTTCAACTGCTACCACCTGGCAGCATCCTGACAAGAAATCAATCAGCTGTCTGAAACAATCAGTTCACTGTTTGAAGCAGCATAGGTGTCAATTAAGGCCTGTTCACATACAAATGTGGCTCCTCCAACACGGCCAGAGGGTGTTTTTAATCATCTGCAAACACTGCTAGATGGCAGTACTTAGCACAGTTACTGCTAATCTAGTCAGTGTGAATGAGAGGAAGACTTAGTAGAAGAAAGCCTGATGCCAAATTCAAAACACACCAAGCAAAAATGATACAACAGCTGGACAGTGAAGAGAGGCTGAAACTTCTACTGAAGTACTGGTCTCATATCCACACTTATATTAACTCATATGTACATACTATTACACATACAAGTACCAACAAACTCACAGGTAACATCGAGAGACTGCTCACTGAAGACAGGTTCAAAATGAGCTAGAAACAACAGCTGCACCGTGATACAATGTTCACCATCTACCGTAGCTTCCATAATAGGAGGAGCAGCCAGTGACTGCCTTCTTTTCTTTAAGTCCCACTTTTGCAAATGTGCATCTATATAATGTGAGGACACTTTTTTGGGTTGCAACCTACTGATCCAGATTACTTTTAATAAATTATCTCTGACAAGTCTAAAAATCAGTCCGAAGCTATTATTTATCTATGATGGACTGATGACTTCAGAAGGCTAAGCAAGATTTATGGAAGGATTCCTCATAGTCTTGCTGAAGCCTTAATATTGAATATCTCTTGCATCTAAAATAGTTTAATATCTCATGAATAAATTGCTTTAATACAGGCCATGACTTAATAATTCTGTCTGTTAGTGGTTTCAGTGAGGCCTTGGGTAGTGATTGCCTCATTTTAAGGACTTCACAGACGTCTCCAAAGGCCAGTCACCACATGTGCAAAAAAGCTGGCTTTTCCTCTGAGCCTCTTTTATATTCGACAAATCATTCTTTATTGTTCATTTGGGCCAAACACCGTACAGCACTTACCCCAAATTCTGTCACTAATATGTCAGTGATGCTTCCAAGGACAGACACAAAATCAAAAATGTTCCAGGCATCTCTGAAGAAATTCTGTCAGGTAAGAAAGACAACAAAACGAGAGATGTTTAAAGATCTGCATCTTTCACAACCTAAAGCCAGAAAGAGGTAAGGAGCCCCGATCCAATAGTGCTGATGTTACAGTAGAGACAGGGCGAAAGGAGGCTGCTAGCATGACTACTGCTCCACACGGTGCACTCTGGGTTTCTCCAGAAAAACATGATCTAGATCTGCCTCCCAAAATAACCTGCTTTATTAATGAATAATAGGATGAAATATTGGTGCATATAGACTGGGTCAGCCTACATAAGGAAAGTGTGTTTTTGTGTGCAGGTCGTTTTCATTTAAAGTCTCACCAGAGGGCCGAATGCTATGATCTTGAGCACTGATTCCAAGAAAAAGAAGGTGGTAAACACAATGTTGAGGTTCTTCAGGACATTATTGTAGACCATCGATGCACCTTCGAACTGCAGACACACACATAGACAGGAAAGCAATGAGAACGGCATTAGTGACATATGATGCATTATACTTCACTCAGAGGGCGACTTCTACCTTCATCATGAGGACGATGGTGTTGAGCGCGATTAGAGCCATGATGCTGTACTCAAAGGGCGGAGATACCACAAACTGCCACATACGATACTGGAAGCTCAGTTTGTTCTTTGGCATGTGGCGAGTCAGAGGCCTGGCATTGATGGCAAAATCTATACAGGCTCGCTGGATGAGGAGAACAGAGGGGAGGCGTGTTACGGTTAATTTACTTTTGGGACAAGACATCTGAAAAAGCACAAAGCAACTTTAATCTCTCTCCACACCTCATTTTTTTCTAAGCTGTAGTCCTCCATCATCTTATCCCCCTGTTCCTGGAAGGTGATGATGATGAGAGCCACAAAGATGTTTACAAAGAAGAAGGGGAAGACAACGAAGTACACCACGTAAAAGATGGACGTTTCCATCCTGTAACCTGGGCTCGGGCCCTGATTCTCAAAGGTGGAGTCCACTGAGTGCTTCAACACCCTAAAAAAAGGGAGAGATGGAGGAAAAAGGCTAAATAAAAATGTACTGATACATATATTATCATCCCCAGTGGCTCAGTTTCACTCATTCAGTTCAGTTTTACATTTTATTTACATACAGCAGCACCAAATTCAAAAATTCAAATTCAAATTTTATTTGTCACGTACACAGTCATACAGAGTACGATATGCAGTGAAATGCATATATTAACGATCGTTGCTTAAGAGAAAAGAAACTTTTTGTGTGCTGAAGTAAAACTCTCGCTGTCACAAAGTAAAATTTGTATATCAGTAACAAATTTGATCAAAAAATGAGTTTATTATTTGTGTGTGGGTTTCTGTGTGTGTTTATAATCCACTCACTGTGGCCAACCCTCTCCAGTTGAGACGGTGAAGAGGGTGAGCAAGGCCCAAGCCACGTTGTCGTAGTGGAAATCGTACTTCTTCCACTCCCGCTTTTCAGCTTTAACTTCATCTTTCTCATATACCAAGTACTCGCCCCTGGTGAGATGGCACAACATGTTTTTTTAAATAATACAAACACATGACAAACATCAGCCAATATGTAAAAATGTACGTTCACAAAAGCACCATAGCTATATGTATACTCATACTTAAAGGTACATTTCTGCTTTGTTTATATTTGACATAATAATAAGTTGGTTGGTTGGCCCAGTGTTCAGTAATGGCATTTTCCTATTGAAAAAAGCAGAATGTATTATGATGCCGAGCAAGCTCCTCTAGGTGGCAGTATAGCCATAAAGACTGTAACATTTATTTCTTGGTAACCAAAGACCGCCTCCCCAGAGAACATCTGAACCCACCTGCAGTCGCGCTCAAACTCCTTGGATTCATCTGTGCAATGGAAGAAGTGACCTTTGAAGAGCTGAACGGCCACCACAGCAAAGATGAACATAAAGAGCATGTAGACAATCAGGATGTTCAACACATTCTTCAGAGAGTTGACCACGCAGTCGAAGACAGCCTGCAGGGCAGAGATGGAGACATTTACAAATGTAATGAAGCCGTCTGAAAATTCTTAGGAGATGGCAGAGACAACTTTTAGAAAAGATTTTTAAAATGTAATTAAATTTGTTTGTATTTATATAGCGCCAATTCAAAACAACAGTTTTGAAGTGGTTTTATATTGTAAGATAAAGATGATACAGTAATAGACAGAAATTTCCAACAATCAAATGACCCCGTCTGAGCAACTGTACATGGCAACTGTGGGAAGGAGAAAGTCCCTTTTAACAAGAACCGGGCTCAGGGGAGCCATGTGCCCCACGGTTAAGGGTGATTAACTATAGTTAATTAAAACCAGGAAGTCTGTAAATCATCACAGTGTTTTTGCACTTTGGGGTAACACATTTCAGCTAGTTTACAACCTGTAGGATTATGATCCCCAGACAGATGTTGTTTTTCCCTCTTTTGGATACATTTTCAGCAATTTTGTCACAGTGGAGGAATTCAGTGAGTATTCAGTGAGTATAATGTCACCTGGGAAAATAAAAGTGATGGGCAAATGGCTCTACCTTTAACTTGGGGAGACGTTTGATGGTCTTAAGAGGTCGCAGCACCCTCAGCACACGAAGGGATTTGATTGTACTGATGTCTTTACTTTTGTTATTCCCCCTAGAGTTGATCCAAGGAATGACAAAAAAAACACAACGTTAGAAAAACATCTCAGCACCAAGTGGAGAACTGATGGGATGAAACAAAGAGCTCTTACCAAACCCTTTGAAATTATTCAACAATTACATTTGATAAAGGGATGAGGTGGGGTGAGGGACATTTTCATTAACTTTAATTTATCTTTTAAACATAACTTCTGTGTGGAAAACTAAAACAAAAACATATGATACGGCCTTGTATAAAAATCATACACATAACATTTGTGCGGACAGTCGCTTCTTCTGCAGGAAAAGAGAAACTTTGAACTGCACGTCAAACATGAAACCGGTGGGAGAGAACGTGTTCGGTTGTCTGACCGTTTGGTTTCATGGACATCGAGAAGCATCGCGACCTTTTCTTAAATTCTTCACTATCACACAACAAGACATTCACTCATTCCATACTGACAGGCATCTCCCGGCAGAGTGCCCAGCCAAACCTCTTTCTTTCTTTTTCAGTCATGCGCTGTTAGGTTCTCCAGGAGAAATGGATGTTTCGATTTGGCAGCATGAAACGTGAACTTTAAGTATTACATGGCTAGGATTATTTTTGATATAATCCTGAATTTGTTAAAGTTTAATGGACGTGTCTCCGATACGTTTCACATAGCTTCGTTTTTGTTAAAATCAGCTGTCACGTTTTGGATTTCTTGAAAGAGACGAGGGCAGTAGACAGAGGCTATGTGAGACACTTTGGACATGTGACGTTGCTAGCAGAACACAATATCACATGTCGTAACACAAGCAAACACCAGGAGTGTTAAATGAGCCATGAAAGTGACCAGAGGAAATTATCTTGGGCTGAAAGTCAAGCGTTCTCAGTCCTGTGTTTTTAAATGCTTGTTTATGCCTGAAATCTATAGCTAAACATTTATTTGTGATTTGTGTACCCATATACCAATATCAGTGAAGAAAAAATGAAGGTGCCAAGGAACTAAATAGCTCAGTTGATCTTAACAGTAAGTGGATGGGCCACTTTGGGTGACAAAAACCAGAGGCCGGAGGCACTGGAGGCTTGCCAAAGCCAGTGCAGAAAAGAGGTCGTCCATCAAGAAGGAGCTCTTTAACTATGAACTCAGTTCCTGTGACAGAAAACATAAGACAATTCAATTCTTTGCTGATTGACTGAGTTGGAGCCTTGGCAGTTCTTCGTGTCTGCACAACAGGGTTTGTGTTGGTGCGTGTGTGTGTGAGAGAGTGGGACTAAATCGATAATCAATAGGAATTCCCCTTTGAAGTTGACTCCAGGCAGCTTAGAGTATTAGAGTAAAGCCAAGTAAGGCCAAAGGTGCTGGGAATTAACAATATCCCTGCACATACAGACACGTACAAGATCTCACACATGCACACTAGCATAATAGCAAAGGCAGCAGTCCTTTTAGTTTAATGACTGACATATGATTAAATGTTTTTGGTATTCTGCCAAGTAAAATAATGTATGACAGAAAGGGGAGCTCGTTAAAAAGCGGAATAAAGTTAAATATAGTTAAACACCTGTGATCTGTCTTGCATTTCAATGTGGGATTATCTATGACATTATCTATTGATAGAAAGTTGCCTAATTTAGCCCAAAGGCACATCTATAGTAATAGCCTGTATTTCACCTTCATCTGTGTAGCAACACAACCACACCAGTAGAGTCTTGCAAATATTCTACATTTTCTGGGTGACAAAACAAAAGATACCAGACTCAACACAATGGGTTTTCCTGACCACCAGATGTGTAACAGCCACAGAATGCACTTGCTCAGAAGCTTTGCAGCGGTGTTTGTAAGTTGTAGAACAATAAGTTTTCCCGTGGGAGTTGCAAATTTTGCAAAACCACATGACCTTGCCTCGATCAGGTGCAAAAAAAAAAAGCCAATGTGACATTTAATCTGAAGGCCACCAGGACGCAAAAGACTTCTAGTCGTCAAAGGAGCTTGCAAAGAAAAGCGTCAAATGGTCAATGGTCAAATGGTCAAATGGTGGAGAGTCCCAGATATATCTGGGACTCTCCACCATTTGACCTTAGAACTGAAGAAGCTTCTCGGATGAGAGGTGAAACGTCTTCAAGTAACTTAAAGAAGTCCAGACGCTTTTCTTTGCAAGCTCCTTTGACTACGATGACCTGGATGACTGAGAACCTTCACAGACAAGACTTCTAGTCCTACAGAAGGACTACTGATCACAGGCTTTCCTGCTGATGGCAAAAACGCTCATCTTGAGGCTTCAAAACAATGGCCGGTGTAATTGTAGCTACATGCATCTTTTATAGATTCAATTTACTGGTTAGGCTCTGCATTTCCTTAACCCACCACTTGGGGCTGGCTCCTAAAGTGAGTTGCGTGCTAAAATGTCTAACTGTTGAGCTGAGTATTTATGGTTGCACCAAAAATTTGTTTTGGATGAAATTCCAGCAGGTATCAGTGTTTCTAGGATACACACCCATTCTTTTCACTAGTATAGAAAGTTAAGTTTTATATATTATTTTTATATGTTTCCACAGTTAAAAAAGGCTATTTTCTGTGAATTAACAAAAAGCTTTCTGATTTATAATTACAGAACAGTCTGGCCAATGAGCCACCAGAGGTTTTTATGTGATTTTGCACATTTATTTCTTACAATTTAAGCCCAAAGAGCCATGCACTTAGTTTTTTATATTAAGATATCTTAGGGATTCAACTTATTTACACTAACAGGAAGAGTTTCATCAGTCCGGTCTACTTGAGATGAAAGCGGGCTCCATGTGGCCCATGATGTAAAATGAGTTTGACATTCCTGTCACATGGTTTGTAGATGTACCTTGTAATGAAAATTTCATAGCCTTATTTAATAGAATTACACTCCATGCTTTTGTCTAAATTTGGTCACTTCTGGGACTGAAAAACAAGATTTTGGAGAAAGACATAGCAAGGCTTCAAAGTGCAAATTCAAAACGCTACGGATGACAGCATGATGGCTATGTCTAAGGTAAAAAAAACAAAAAACATTTGCTGTTGCAATTTAGCCAAAACAAAAACATAAATTCTAGGAAATTAGGTTAGAATACAGGCCAATAACAGGGAGGGACACACGCGCAGAAAAGGTTTATAGCCTCCTTTAGAAAGAGCTTACAAAACGACAGTGGGGGTGGGGTGTCACTTTGATACTATTGTTCTGGTAATTTTAAGTTGTGCGTTCATTAAACAAGGTATTATTACAAATCAAAGCCTTTAAGTCAAATCTACTGAGGTGTTTAGATGGTTTCCTGTGGTTTGTGGACACAGCGGTGGAAACGAGAACAAGTGGAAATGATACGGCGAGAATGAGTATGGATGACAAGAACAGTAAAGAAAGAAAGAGAGAGAAGCCAATTTGACCCGGTGATGGAGAAAAGAAGACAGCAGGATAGAGCAGGGCAGAGGAAGGACTTTACCCGCTGACGCTCCTGTTGAGTTTCCCCGAAGATGGAGACAGCAAGAGTCAGGGACAGCGACAGAAAGAAAGACCGAGAAAGAAGACGAGAAAGAAAGGAAGAGGGGGAGGGAAGGGAAAAAAGACATAGAAAGACACAAGCACACGCGCACACACAGATACACACACATACACAAAGAGGCCAACAAAGACAGACACAAGAGAGAGGGGGTTTGGTAGAAACAGGAAAAAATACATTCACATGAGAGACAGACAAAAAAGGACAGCAAGATGGGCATACCTGCATACCCGATTACAAATACACACCCTCCACCCATCAACACACACACGCATGCACACAGATTATTCCTTTCCATGCCCACCTCGTCTCCATAAAAAACACTGAGTGGGATACCGAAATACCTGTCAGCTAGAATATCACTCAAAAGTTTAGTGTAACTTATCAGAAATACACTATACTTAATGACTAAAGGAATCACTAATCATATATTACTTATGATTCTTAATGGAATATGTACATAGGTACACAGAAGCCCATTTTCAGTAACCACCACTCTGTTTTTCCAGCAACACATCGCATTACCTAATGCAAATTCCATCCATCTATTTTCTTATCCATGTGTCCAACCCTAATGTAAGCTTATTATATTAAAATGATTATTGATCTGAATATTTATTGAGCCAAAAACCACTTTACATTTGGCTCGTTGGGGCTCTGTAGCATTAGGCAATGTTGGCTTAATTACAGTCTTAAATTTTCACCTTGAAAAAAAAACAATTTCTAGTTTAAAAAAAGATTTAAAAAGAAAGTTTGCAACAGGGTGTACGACTCCTTTGAGAAAAACTGGTGGTGTTCTGTGAAGGACGCACTACAGGCTGTCACATGATACCGTTCATTCCTTTGAAAAAATAATACTTTCATATTTTTCATTTTTTGTCATTTTGAGACAATAATTAAACACATATTCTCCAAACCAACTAGCAAGTGTTCTTTTTACTTTTCTTTTTAGATCAGCACAACAGTTTTCAGTGCTGACCAAACTGGAAAATGATTTCTAATCATCGGTTCCTTTGAAAGGATTGTACTGATATTTATCCTTAAGCTGCTTTACTTGATTTAGCTTAATATTTTCTGTTTAACTGAGCTCCTTTTCTGAGCTTCCTGAGCTATGTTTTTGTCCAGGGAACACACTGGAACAGTGCTGGAATGAGTCTTTTAAAATGGGCTGTATTGCTTTATGTAGATATTCCCTTAAAAATGATAAATGATTCATGGTAACACACATGAACAACCTCACATTTTATACTTAACTGTTTATCAAGTGGTCTTAAGAAATACCTTTCCAGGCTTTCTGCAGATTTCATAAAGTTTTTATTTAACATCGGCTCCTTTTTTAATACTCAATTTTAAGTCCAGTCCTTGTACCTGAGCTTTCTCAGAGGAACGTTTTGGGGTTTGTGTTGTTTCTTTGTAAAACCACTTAACACTGACTGTGAGTTATTCACAGATAAAAACAGCACCTAACTCAAGGAATAAACCAGTGTTGTGGCTACACAATTTTAAAATCATTTGTTCACATTTCTGTAGCTGAAGCTACTAAAAAAGCCAAAGATAACACAGTTTGACATGGAAACAGGGAGAAAATGCCGAGGTGTGCTAAATTACACAAGAACTGGACTGAAAATCAGCGGCGACACATCTTATGGAGTCATAAATCTGAATTCAGACATCGACTTCATCGAAGCAGTCTGGGATCATAGTAATATATTATGCTACTATAATATAAGCACATAATGTAATGCTTTTATATTTTTTAGAACATTTTGGCTCAAATCAATCGAATGCAATAAAAACGGGGGCTGTGTAATTTATTAAATAACACTACAACTCTTTAGAGTAGATTCTGTAACATGACATATAATGTAAAAGATTTACACTTTAAAATAAAATATAATAATATAGTTTTGTTGAGCCTCTTCGTGCCTCCTTACGTTGCAGCAATGTACCTTTTATTCCATCAGCACTGCTTTACTCTCAGGTACCTCATTGAGCTCTGCAGTTATAATAAGAGCACTTCTGTGAATCAGGCCCCCTGCTGAGACTCTAGACGTGCAAATCTTCCCTCCCTCCTGGCTGTCTTTTGCTGTGGCCTGCTGTGCTACCATCTCTATGAAGAATTACCTTCACGGCTGGAGGAGGAAACTCAATTGCTGCATCCATTTACACCAATTCTTATCTTATCACACCATAATGATCAATTAGACCAGGCCTACAGCACAAATTGCCCTCATTAGATCTGCAATCAAATCTAGCGGGATTTTATCAAAGCTTGCTTTGCATGCACATCTACACAGGAGAAGAGAAAGGCGTTAAATCTTTCCAAGTGGCCGGTTCCAGGTTTTCTTGACACGTTAGAGCGCATAGATATATACACAGGACATCCATCACGAGCGGACACTCAAGAAACCAGGATTTGTGTGCACTTTCCCATACACACACACCGTCAACGGGAGAGGAAAGACACTTTCACAGTGTACTGTGAGTGCATGCAAATTTCACTAATGACACTGTATCATTCAGCATTTATTTTGGAGAATGAAAGGTGCCAAAAGCGTGGTTGTTGTGTTCAAAACCCATAAAAATACGAAGCCATTGTACTGCGACCATGCTAAAAACCCCTCTGTACAATGGTTCTGTGATGTACCTGCTTTTAAAGAATGTCATGCGTCAAAGTGGAATTACACAGGTGGGAGTGAAGCCTTCGCCCCCTTAAGTAAAAATGTCTGGTAGCTCAGCCCTGAAGCGGATGGTAGGATTGGGGAGGCAAAGGAGAAAACTACAAAGAGGGCGGAGAGAGGAGGCGAAGGTGTGAGGGGAAATGGTGCGAGAGCATCCTAAAGAGAAACGGGAAGGGTGATTCAAGAAGTAAATAAGGGGAGAGGAGAGGGGAGGAACACCAGTGCAGGGGGGCAGGAGGCATCTTCTTTTCAGTGGCGAGTCATGCTGGGGAGGGTGCAGCAGTGGACTGATTTTTAACTTGCCATTACAAATTTATCATCCATCTGAAACAATTGTTTGTGTTTCTTTCTAAAGTGGTGGAAAATTGTCACCTTTTACTATTTATATATTTTGCTATTTATACTTGTGTGTGTTTGACATTTTCCTTGCCTAACCAAAATAATCTAAAACCCGGGTACTATAAGTGTGTGAATGGGTGGATGACTGCATGTGTAAAGTGCTTTGGGGTCCTTGGGGACTAGTAAGGTGCTATACAAATACAGGCCATTTACCATAGGTGGTGCTGGATTGGTGCTTTTAAAGGTAAAACCAATTAAGACCTTATAATCAATTAGGTATAAAAAAGTTACTATTTTTATTACTATTAATATTATCTGCAGTGCTTCACCAACAGTGTGACAAGTTCAATTTGTAGAGTATCGCCTTATAATTTGATACCCTGTTTTCTCTATGCTATATTTGCCTGCATCTGCAGCTTCCCTGGTCAGCTAACATCTACTCAAATACTGACCAGCGCATATGTGTTCATTCACCCTTCAGCTACACCATAACTAATACTATGTTGCCCTTTCTTTGTCCTCCAAAAATAAGGGAAGGATACGGGACTTCGGGGAGCCTGGGATGTTTGTTAGCTATGCATCTTTTGTTGGTTTGTTGGGAATTTGGAAGCCAGATCAATGCTTCTGGCTTCTTACAGACACACTTCTGGGCAGTTCTTTCCTACCTTATTCACTTCACCTATTAGCTCGTTACATTTTGTGGCTGACTGATATGTATGAATGATTGTACATAGTTGAGCTGAGCTGATTTTGTGATGATTTAGAAAAAAAGCAAGAAATTGTTCACATTGGGTGAGAATTCCACTTTCTGGCCTTATATCACGAATATAATATTTGGTATACTCTGTGTCTTTGGACTCAGTACAAAGTGTCACAAGTTTTGGCATTAAGATCAAATGTGATTAAGTGTCAAGAATTAATCAAAGAATCGAAGGATATGGTAACAGCTAGCATTTGATTTAATCTAACAATGCGCTCGATCTGCCTAATCTGTGTAATCTGTATCGATGACCTAAATCCACAAAATAATAATTTGATAAAACAAAAAAGCTTTAGTACTCTCATCAAGTATAGCTCATGCCATCGTTTTATGGTTGTCAGGATGCTGATTTAATACCAATCCCAGTTTAATACTTGATACTATTTTCGGTACCTCTGCAGTAAAGAAATGAGTAAATGTTCTTTTCTCCTTACGTTATTGTTTTTCTTCATATAACCTGTTTTAAAAAATGTTCTTCATAACAAAATAAATGGTTGGATTGCTGTTGTGATTTTCTAAAAAAAAATAAAATAAGAAAAACAAGAAGCTTCACTTCACGTCACATTCTGATTTCTTACCCCTTAAGTTTTCATGCAGTGGTGCTGTCTCTAAAACACGCTTCATATTTAATCTGAACACTCCCTTACAGTAGCTATTTGCTCAGATACAGATGCCATATTTAGGAGATAATCCTTTGCTTAAAACATCATGAACATAGCTCTTAGTGATGCTGTCTACTGTCCATCACAGCAAGGGTTCATGTAGACACTAAGTAAGACATGCAATAGGCATCCAGAGAGCTGAGGAGAATGCATGTTTTTATTTTCTACCAAACACAAACACACAAATGATCCCTTCAGCTGTATCCATCGCAATAACGTCTACTAAATCATTCCATCCACTACACCCTGCCCCAGCATGCCTTGCTTATTACCCTCCCATGTACTTTCCTGGGTCGTGCAGAAAAAGGAGAGTTAAATACCTGTGCCTCCAGTTTCATTAACATGGTCAGAATGGTGGAGGAGTATGTGTGTACATTTGAGTGTGTGCTGGCAAAAGAGAAGTAAGGAGGGACGCTGAGGAGATGAGTCCTTCCTGGGACAAGTGTTCTTCCAAGTGGCGGATGTAGAGCCTGGGCAATTAAAGGGTTAAAGGTGTCTGGGGCGCCCTCACCCCCACGGAATGACTAATTTTGACCTCCGGACAGGGGCATGGGGAAGAATGACGAGGTGGAGGATGTTGGATACAATGGGTTTTGGAGAGTGGAAGCTTGAATGGTGCATTTGGTGGAATCTGAATAATCAGGAGCGGATAATAGGAGTTGTACTCAACAAAGATTGGAGGTTGTGGTTTGTGGGATTAATGGTAAATTAGGGAGCAATGGGCAACACCTCTTCTTAACATACAGCATGAAAATTCAAAGCAGGAGTACTCTACAGCCAGATGTGAACCATACGGCGAGCAACTTTGCACTGTTTCAACAACGTTGAATAAATCTGCATTTAATCTGATGGTGTTCATTTCTAAATTGAGTACCATCAGATTTTCTTACATTTCTTCCACTGCATCTTTGTGCCAAATGTATTTTAAATATATAGCACATTCTAGTATTATTACTTAGTTCCTAATAATGTTCCTCTGTAGTCCACCCTTAGATATCTCAAAAACTGACACTCATGGCCGACAGAGGATGAATCTTACTAATTTTGATGATCTCCCAACTTTTCCTGGGGGAGTTCTCATGGCATACACCCAGGGGCTGTGGTTCAGTACGGAGAGGCCAACTAAGATCATAGAGAGCAGTACAGCACTCCCTTGCTAGGTTACTCTCTCTGCCATATGTTAGGAACAACAGAGGTGTAGGCGATGACACTGAGAAAACGGGTAGGTGAATATAGAGAGGGGGAGGTGCTGATATGAGAGAGGGAGTTGAAAGGTGTTTGACGAGAAGGCATCAGCAGGGACATGGGCTGAAGAGGACCTGGGGGGAGTGTTGGTAAGCAGGGCTTGGGGGATCTAAGTCAGGGACTGAGATGCAAGAAAAGGGAAGGAAGGACGAAAGAGATGACTCACGGCCTGGTTAGAAGGAAATCAGAGTGGCATGGATTGGCAAACAGGGAAAAAAGGGATCGGGAGCAAGGAAGATTTGGGAGGAGAAAATGTTGATAAGGAGCAGGTTGCACTTTATAGCTTATAGACAGTTGTGTGGGAAATGATTTGGGAAACTCTTACAGTGGTTGAAATGAAGATGACAGTATAACAAAAAGCCTCTTTAAATAAAAGATGGTGATGATCTTTTAAGTGTGAAATATCAGGGATACATTTTAGTTATGGATCGCCGTCAGTTGTCGAGATGAAGGTGGCGACTGAACATCGAGAAAGACCTGCTGATATGATGACACATGTGATGGCGGCCAATACAGAAATAGAGATGAAAATGGAAAGGAGGCAGCCTACAGAAAACAGAAAAGACTGGGAAAAAAGATGGACAGAAGCAGAAACGGGAACAGAGCGAAGGGGATACTGGACAAGAGGGGATGATGAGCTCTCACACAGAGCAGACTGAGACAACAGGAGGGTGGAAGCCGGGCCTCGCCTAGTGTATTGGACGTACACGGCTGACTGACAAAGGTCTTTCTGTCAATGGTTAAATGTGTGTGTGGGTGTGGAAGGATAGTGGAGTAGATGAAGAGGAGGATGGGGAGGGGAACTTACGTGAAGGCGAAGGCCACCAGAGCACCACTAACCACTATAAAGTCCAGAATGTTCCACAAGTCACGGAAGTAGGATCCCTCATGGAGAAACAAGCCCAGCACCACCATCTGGAAGACAAGGAGTGTGCTCAGCATGATATATACTCATATACACACATACACAGGGACACTGACTTTACCCTCTAAAGCACGCTGGCCTTAACAAATACAGAAACACACACACAAACAGAGGACGCCTCATACAACTGCACAAAAAAGGGCTCAAAGTAGAGAGTCACACACAGTCGCACTGTGATACTTTGTTACCTTGATCAACATTTCAAATGTGAAGACTGCTGTGAAAACGTAGTCAAAATTACGCAGCACCTGCGGAGGGACACAACACCATGAGATAAATTAACATATTAGCGAGAGCAGATGAATCAGAGTGAGAAAAGATGCGACAAACGGAGGAGAGATTAGCAAAGAAAAAAAGTACACACTAGAAAGACAATGATCCTAGTTCTAAACCTATTTTAGGTTTCCATTTTCAAACAGCTCAATCACAAAATCCACTTGCCGTGAGTGAGATTATTCATAATTTCTTCTCTTTTGTCATAATATTTCTTTGCGGTGTTAACCTATCCTCCACATTCTCTAAATCTTGATTTAATGTAATAACAGAGAAAAAAAAGCTACTAAATATCCAATCTCCATAAAGACATGTGTTGATGCATGATCAGTCATCCAGGTAAGGAAATACGTCTTTATGGAAATCCCAAAAAGTTGATTCTGTTCATCGTGATGTAGCATTTTCAGTGGGAGGTGACTTTTTCAGTCTCAGCTGACGGCAGGTTTTCCCAACCCTCCATTTACATAATGACTAAGACGAGCACCAGTGACAATGATCAAGAATCATCATGGTTAATGATCAAGAAATTGACCCCACAGCTTATTTTTTGTTGGTGGTGTTAGTTTCAGTCATTATGCAAACGTGCTGTTTATAAGGTTGGGGAAACCTGGGTTGATGAACAGAATCCGCAAAGAGATATTTGCATGTGATCTATAGCCAAGGGCCTACATTGGTAATAGAAGCTTTCTGGTTTGCATTGCTACCGACCAATCCTGTTTGAGTAAGCTTTGGTTGGATGCAAGGAAATCCATCGATGGAACAGGAAATCTTGTGTGCCGGATATGAACTGTCGGTTGCAAAACTGCAAAATATCTGCCTTGCAATCACTCCTCGTTATCACATGTGGGTGTTATCAATAGGTATGTAAAAAGGAAATATTAATTAGGATGATGTGATACCTATGATTAATATGTATTATGAACAATTTAGCTGTAGCCAAATCCTTCTAGCCCTAGCACAAGCTATTTATATCACCACAGCTGACCTCTTCACTGACAGGATTTATTACCAACTAATAACTTTACTTTAGAACCATATACTATTCCCAGATCTTGCTAAAAGTTCTCAAAATCTTCATTTTTATATCTGTTGTAGACATCCCATCAAAAAAGAAGAACGATGCAGACAGAAAAACACAAACACATAGTCGTGTCTCACATCGTTTTGCGGTGACTTAGGGTTGACAGGGTCCTCTGCAGCAAGAGCGATGCTGCTCATAGCGATGACAGTAAGGATGGTGAACTCAAAATACTTCAGAGTCAGGATGTAGTGACAGCACTTCCGAAACCTGGCGCAGACACACAGATGCGTGTGCATGTTAAGAAATAAAAAACAAAAAACCCCACAACACATTAAATATGAAATATGTCTTAGGCTGTAAAGAAAAACTTTCCTTTACAATAACTTTTCCATATTCTAGAAAAAAGCATGGTACAAAGCTTGGAGCTTGTGTGTGTGTATAAACACAGACACACACACACACACACACACACACACACAGAGTATATACTCACGGGTTAGTGGTGGACAATATGAAGCAAGAGCTATAAGGAGGCATGGGTTTGGGGCCATCTTCATCTCCGCCCTCGCTCTCCTCCTCTTTCTTCTCCTCACTCTTCTTCTGGTCGGTGTTGGCGTTCTTGTTCACTAAGAAAATCCAGCAAAGAAAACAGGGAGAACTCAGAATTGACAAACACAAAGAGACAACGTTTGACACATAAAGACTGATATTGCACTGTTGTTAAGTTCAAGAGGAAAGCCAACAATTTTAATTTAGGTGTCACTGCAGTGATATTATGCACAGTATTATAGTACAGTCAAAAACATATTTTAAAAATAAATTAAACTGATAAAAAAAGTTAGACTGGGGTGCAGTATTGTAGTGAACTGCTCATGAGGGACCACTGGAGGGCGCTCTTTATTGGTTGAACAGGCAGCAGTCTGGAAGCAATGGTGACTGTGAACGTTTGGTTTAAGGTAAAAATAAAACTGCAGCCATGCAGTTTAGTATTAATAAAAAAAGGTGGAGGCCAGACATTCGTCTATTGCCATATCTAAGTGTATACAAATGCAGTTTATTGACCACATTGTCCACAATCCTATGTCCTTTCAGTAAACGCAGGTAGCTGCTGCAGCAGAAATTATCAGGCATTATTGGAGCGTAAGGAGTGCATATTATTATAGTTGGGTACCTGCCAGAAAGGTTTTTCGTTACTGCGTTAGCTCTCGTTGCATTAGCACTACATTTTATTGTTGAAAAATACTCTGAAATACCATGAAGGTATAATGGCATCAGAAATAAATAATATTTTAGAGTATAATGTTTTTGCAATCTGACCCATAAAAAAACCCCACACTCTTTTATACATTTTTGAAAGTATCTTTGACGTGTTTCTCGAAGAGTCTTCTAACGTTAAAGTCAGTACAACCAGTCAGAAGTACAGTTTGTACTGCATTAATGTCTCTCTGTCTAAACTAGAAGATGCCTATCAAACAAATTATAGACCCCAAAAAGCCATCTTTAGTTTTATAGTCATACGAGCCTCCAAGATTCACCTTGTAAGATGGCGTTGGTCGAGGGGTAAGGGTAGACAGGGGGCATTTCTATGGCTGTGTAGTCAGGTTTAACCATGCTAGTGAGAATCAAGCTGTCCATGCTGTGAAGCAGCGTGTGGGTATCAGCATCGCGGCAGTTGAGCAGGTTATTGACATGGTCAGGATGGTCAGGGTGATCTGGTGGTAGGGCGTAAGGGTGCTCGTGGGCATTGGCCAGCTTGCTGTTGTTGCGGAAGTTGTCCAGGTCCTCATTATACTGCTGTATAGGACGGGTGGTAGAGAGGCTTGGTCCAGTACTGTGGTGTTCCCTGATGAAGGAAAAAGAGATGGGGGAGATGTCACAAGAGCAACGCAGAGCACACAGAAGGGCAGATTCTCTACCAAGGCCAATATCCTATGATGCACTTGATATGTGTCTTTATATGGTTGTAATACATAGCCTGGTAGTTTTAATTTAAAAGTCTTAAACTCTCAATAAACAGTCTTTACAAAATTCTAAATTCAGAACTAACATTTAAAATGGCCTTTTCATTTCTTTTCCATTCTATTATTTCATTGCATTTCCTTTTCCTGCTTTCTTTGGGATTAGCTACAAAATTAGCAATGGGAGTAACTATGGAATTAGCTGTGACATTAGCTAATAGATTAACTATTGTATTAGCTATTTCACTTAAAATTTCCCTAACTCCTTTGATCCTTGTAGACAATGCAATACAAATTAGCCATGTGGAGCAATGTAAGGAGCTATTTGATTGGTTACAAAGACACTGCAATTTGCATTTATAGCTTTGCACTGTTCAAGGACATTTAGCCTAGATGTTCACTGTCTTAAAATGTGCAACGCAGATATATGAAGAATGTTAAGGAACACTGCGATGAAATGGAGCCCTGATCAACTAAGTGTGCAGTAGATTTAATCAGTGAACAATTTGGTTGAATTTCAGATTTTAAATGGATCTGTTTGTTAGTGAATGACAACTAGCTCTGGGAGATGAGGTCACACCCTCATCTGTCCTAAACCATGTTCATGGAGGATGTTACAACATTGACAGACGATGACCTCTCAGCACTTTGAGTCAGCTTTTTGGCACCAGGGACCCTCATAGCAAAACAGCAACTTGGACTTCATGCAGTAAATTCTACCTTTCTGGCGTTTGATTCTACTAATCGCTCTCTCATTTAACCCACAACTAAAATCAGTCCCAAAGAGCTAGGTAAAAATATTAAGAAGGACATCTAGCGTGAACACATTTGTACTTTTACTTGTTCCGGGAATTACATTACTGAACAGTAAATCTATTAAAACAAATGAATGTCTTCTTTCATTTTGCATTACGTTTTGTATATAATATGAACAGGACTGCAGGCTGTTGAATAGATCAAATCACTAAAGTCATACTGAACAAAATGACCAGGTGAGTTAAACTAATTGACCACTTTTACAAGTTTTAGTTACATAACTGATTAAAGATCATCAAACTGAAGTGTGCTACCAGAGGAGATAGAACGTTGGACCAGGTGTACACCAACATGGCGAATGCATACAGAGCCCAGGCTTATCCCCACCTGGGTCAATCAGACCATCTCTCCCTTCTGCTACACCCAATATACACACAAAAGATCAAGAGCACTGGGATTACAACCAAAACCGTGAGAACATGGCCGCAGGATGCTATTCCGATGCTTCAGGACTGTTTCCACTGCACAGACT